CCCTCCCTAACTTACCAGAGGTAACTATGTTCTTAAATTGGCAATTATAATCCCTTAGACATATTTGTATTATAAACACACACACACACACACACATCTACACACACATCTATAAACCACACTATGATAGTTGTTTAAAATGCATACAAATATTAGTATTAGTCTGCAATGTTTGTTTTTCCCCCAAGTTTATCTTTCTAAGATTTATTTTTGCTTAGGCCATGTAGTTCACTCGTTATAACTGCTAGATACTATACGGAACCACAATTTATATATTCACTCTGGTGCTTCTTTTGTATTTTTGCTATCAAGCAAAGGGACAATAAGCTTTCACTCATTCATCCCATTCCCTACCTGAGCCTTGGCATTGCTCCAAGAGCCAGGAAGAAAACCAATAAGCATCTGCCCAGGGGCACCTGGGTGGCTCAGTCGGTTAAGCGACTGCCTTCGGCTCAGGTCATGATCCTGGAGTCCTGGGATCGAGTCCCATATCAGGCTCCCTGCTTGGTAGGGAGTCTGCTTCTCCCTCTGACCCTCCCCCCTCTCCTGCTCTCTCTCTCTCTCTCTCTCTCTCATTCTCTCTCTCAAATAAAATAAAATCTTTAAATAAACAAACAAACAAACAAACATCTGCCCAAAGTTGAGCTTATGTTTTGGAGAAGACAATAAACTTTATGTTAAAATATTGCATGCTAGATGGTGTTAACTCTGTAGAAAACAGAGCAGCGTAAGGATGATGGGCAATGCCAGGAGCAGCAGAGTTGTAAATAGTTGGTCAGAGGGGCAGTACGAGTCACGTGTTCTGGGACAACCTTGCATAGGAAACCGTTCCCAAGTCTCACCTTTTTCACAACAACAAACCTAGGTTTATGGGTCAGCCAGGATGGCTCTGCTTCAGAATGTCAGCTAGATTCACCCTGGGCTGTGGGTTGGGTTCGGGTTGGCCTCAAGCCTCTCCTCCTTCCACTTAAACAAGGGTGTATTTTCTTCATAGTAAATGTGAGACATGCAGGAGACCATGTCAGATCATGTAAGCATATTCAAGACCCCTGTTTGTGTCTCGTCTGATAACATTCTAATTAGTGCTCTGTTCCCAGTTACATGAAGTAAGCCTGGGTGGGTTTACCCTACTCACTCTACCTTCTCTAGTAGGAGATCCTGGAAAGTCTCACAGCAAAGATGTCAGCATCGAATTCCATAGCAAAGAGGTACTGAAGAATTGGAAACAATACTAAAAAAAGAAAAGAAGGAAACACAAAAATAATGTAATTGAAAGGGCCATTGTGAGGAATAAATGAAATAATGTAGGTGCAGAGTCTAGTCCAGAGACTGGTATAAATATTAAAAGACTAGTTAATACTTAATATATCATTATTATGTGCCAGGCACTCTACGGTGTTCTCTACATCTAACAATTTAACCTAAACCTCACAACAATTGTATGAAATAGACATTGTTCTTATCCCCATTTTCCAGATAAGGAAACAGGCCAGCGAAATGAAGTGATTGGCCCAAGGTCACATGACAAGTACAGCTGTAGAGCTGGGGTTTGACGCCAGACAAGTAGCCCACTGTCTTTCCTCTTAACCACGCCACTCTGCCCTCTGTGTGCCTCCCTGACCCCAAGTCTAGATTTAGTGCTGTGTGTTCCCACAGGCACTTTGCTTTTCATCTCGTGGTTCTGAGTACTTCTTGCTTTTTCATGTGTCTGTGTCCTTGACTACAGGGGACATTCTAGAAAGGCGGGGATTGTGCCCGTCTTATTTACTTTCATTCTCTAGCCATCAGAGATGTGGGGGAGGGAAGAGGTGACAACGGAGTGAAGCAGAGGTGTTCCTCCCTTTGTACCCGTTCCACAATGCATGGAGGGGAAGTGAAGGGAATATAAGAAATTAAAGATGCCAGAAAAATATGTAGTCATTGATGGAGCAAGGTTTTGAAGTAAACAGAAGGTACAAGATTAGGATTAAAATGAGGAATTATTGACTTTGAGAAGACACAAGAACACCTCTTCCTTTACAGATGGACAGAGGAGGGCAAGGTAGATCTTGTGAGAGCAGAGGAGGCTAGATGAGGACTCTCGGGCCAGATGACTTGGATCATCTCGGTAAATAAGGGGCGGGAAAGGCTGCAGGAGGGTGGAGTAGGAGATTGAGGCAAGAGGAGAGAGTGTGGAACAAATGTCTAACTTTTGGGGTCTGTGATCTCTTTAATATTACGATAAGTAATATGATTAACCCAGGAAGAAGAACATACACACAAAATTAGGCATATAATTTTAGAGGTCAAGAACCCCTGGTTGGTAACGCTTGCTCTCAGGAACTAATGACACTGAACAAAAGTATTTCTGAGCAGCAATTTGAAGGCAGGTAGATTGAACTCTAAGTCTGTGTTTCTGTGACCTGCTTCAGCAGCATCCAGTGCTGGTGTGGAATTAGGGACTGAGGCCATGGGCTTCTGAGCAGCCCAGGGGTGGGGGGAGTAGGGGAGGGCAGCAGGGGTAGAAGGAAAGCAAAGGACAGGCCGGTGAAGAAATGGCAGAGGTGGCAGTAGAGGCTGATGGAGGGTGAGGGAGGTCCTCTTTGGGTGTCCGCCATCAGAGGTGCATGGTCTGTAGAGAGCAGAAAAATAACAGTAAAACCAGAAGTCAGTTTTCTGCTTATTATCATGATGTACAAGCTGTTCTAAACACCGACAGTGATAAAATCTGGCCCTCTGAAAAAGCCTTGATCTGAGACCTAAATAATTGCCAGTATCTGGGTAGACATGCCGCCAGGAGGCAGATAAAGTGATTCAGATAGAGGGAGTAGTCCAGGATGTGGGTGAGGTGCCGGTGGGTGGCCGAGTGGAGCTGAAGCTGAGTTGGTGCTCGAGTGGAAGCCTCCTTCACCTGGGTGGTAAAGTGGCACCATTCAGTGACTTTCATCTTCCAGAAACTAGATATTGTCTGGAATCCTGAATCCTTCCTCTGATGGCTCGTCATCACCACACGTGTTTCACCTTCTTCCCGTGTCAGCTCTGCTCACATCTGCACCTGCCACAGCGTTCTGCAGCCCTTTGCACCCCTTTTCCTAACAGGTGGCACCCATTGTGCACCCACTGTCTACATGATCTTCTTCCCTACTAGACTATGTGCTCCTTGAGAGCAGTGATCGTACCATATTCATCTCTGAAGCGCCAGTGCCTGCAAACAGGCACTTGAATGCTTGTTGAACCAATGCACAACTATATCGTGCTCTTCTTCACAAATTCCTCAGTTCTCCGATGACCAGGCGCCAGTAGAATCAGGATGCGGCTGCTCTCCTTCTCCCAGGTAAATGCAATGAGTCTCGTTCCCCTTTATGACGTGTTACTCCTGGATCTTCATTCTGTTCATCATTCCAACCTGGAACGTAGAACCAGATTAGGGAGCTCCACGTTTCACATGTTTTCATCCTCAAACCATCAGGACATTATCTGGAGAGTCTGATTGCAGGGCCCAGAGTGGTGATTGTTTCCACCAGAGTAGAAACCACTAGCATTTTGCTGCTTTGTAGTGGGACCAGTACGGTCACAATGATGTACGGGTGTTTCTTTGGTGTCCCAAAAGAATTTAGGTGCTTCTTGAAACCCCTCTGCATTCTATTAGTCGGGAGTAATTATGCAATGGAGAAAACAGGGTCTGATTCACCCTCTCAGTCTTCCTTGGGAGTCACAAGAGGGCTGATAGTTCCCTGGAGGTGAACCACCTTCAGAATGGACCGAATCTCCACCATCTCTTCCATTACTCTGTCCACCCTCTTCTTCAAGATGGCCTCTGTGTGGTTCTGACTAAGAAGTTACCACACCAGGGGCTAATGAAGTAGATAAATCGGAAATATCTCGGCTTAACTTTTGAGGTCAGAAGCAGGAACTTTCTAGAGGAGAAATCAAAGAAGCGAAAGAAGTATAAGGGCAGCTCCCCAACCAGAGTACCCGCTGGTTGTGTCCCAGGCCCCCAGCAACTACAGAGGCATATAGAATGATCAAGCACTGTCGTCAGATTGAAGCGCAGCCATTATCCTCATTCCTCAACAGCTGACCATTGGAACCGCACACAGTGTGGAGACAATCTGGAGATGATGCTTCATGTTTAGTTAACACGACTCCGGGCACTAACACGACCTTCACAGCCTCCATGAGGCCATGGGTACTTGAGCACTTAGCTTTTGAAAATGGGAATTTGCCCTCAAGACCCGCATCCAGCGTTTAGACATAGAATAGAGCTTTTTACTCCTTTTTAAAATTCTCTCGCTCATTTGATAAAATGTGCGTTCAAAAAATAAATCTGGTCTGTAGGAAGGAATCTAGCTACCCATTTAACTCTAGCAGTTGCCTGTGTGATCCAACGGTGCTCTTTATAGGAAGCGTCTAAATAATTGAAATCTCTAATTGGGTTAAAGAGATCCCTAGCACATAGATGTTCTATAAATAAAAGAATGCGTAAATAATATAGTGGCCTTTCTTTTGTAGGTCCTTCCCCTTAAAGAGACCATTTTGTTTTGTTTGTTCGAATAAGATCATTGTTCAGGGACACTTAAGCAAAGTTAGGTTTTGGCTGGGGCGGGGCTTTCCCAAGGAAATCCCTTTTAGTTTGCTTCAGGTGTACCTGCCGCCTTTCCCCTCTGGCTACTCCACTAATCGTTTGTCTTTGCTGTGAGTAGCCAGGCACCTGGGCTTTGCATTTGCCGCTGGGGGCCAGAGCAAGTAGTAGAGGTAGCAGGCTGACCTTGCCTTGTTATCTGAAATCAGACAGGTTTAAGCAGCCCAGAGCCTAAGAGACAGCTAGAGAAGAAAGAAAGGGAAGGAGAGAGAGAAATACTTTATAAAGAGGAAGTGGTAGGAAACTTCTGAATTTCAGTGTGACCTGTTCTGTCAGGTGATTCCTGTGGGGGAGGAGACATGAAAGAAAAAAAAAAAAGTTAGGTAAAATGTCCTTATAAAGACAAAATCTATTTCTTTCCTGGCTGATGATTTGTCATTCTAGTCACTTCCTGCCTTGTGACTGCACACCCGGGTTTGACAAAGTTGTTCTGCAGATCAGAAAGAAGGGGGTTTCTGGTCACACGCCATTACCACTGAGGACAGTTTCTCTACAAGGTAAATTTTCTTCATGTCTTTTTGTTGTTTCTAAGCGCTTATGATGTTTTGCTCGTTGGGCAGCTCTGTTTCTGTGGATTGTGGGTTCTGCCTTCAGGGGACTGAGATCCGAGCACCTGTCACCCGAGCCCTGTGTGAGCCATGCTACGGTTTAACTGCCCCACCAAGCTGCCGCCACCTTGTGTGGCTGCCCAGAGTGGGACCCCCTCAGTCCTCTGGGGGGGGGGGGCTGCTTCTCTAGTTACCCACAGCTATCACCCCCCAAAACAATGATTCTTCTTTTCCCCCCCTTTCAAACCAAACCATGTTTTGATTTATTTCTCTTGCTCCATTTCAGGGAGGCTATTTACTGTGATTTTATCTACCTTAAAATGTTTTCAGGAAAGTGCGTATTGATCACTTAGATTGTGCTGCTCGTTGGCCTAGTGGGAGTAGTTTAATTTTATCTCCTGTGGTTCTGTTTTTCTAAAAAGTTTCTTTACAGTACTTGAGTGGTTATATTAATGTCTTGAGTCATACGTTACTGAGTGTGTTACTGGGTGTTTGAGTGATTTTGGCGCCAACAGTTTTTAATGGGTGTGTTTAATAACCACAAAGCATCCGAGGTGCCTCTTCTTTATTTATTCTGTAGAAATAAAAGTAATTTGCCTTGCTTAATTGTACTGTTTTTGCAGAATTGTCTCAACTATTGGTTAGGCTTATGGCCAAATGACTGTTAAGGTCTGGATGAAAGGGTTCTGTCTACAACAGAAATTCTGATAGAATTGATATGGGATATTTACTCCAGAAGCTCTGTTGAAACATAGACTTTGGATCTTGTAGCATCAACCTTCATTTAATTATCCTTATCCAACAGTATTAAGAACCATCGACAGATGATAAACATAAAAAGCCATTTGGGGTGGAAATGGATTAATTTATCAGGACACTTATCAAAACCCAATTTTTCTTATTCAGTAGAGCAAATTGTGTTCTAAAGTGATTTCCTCGGGACAACTTAAAAAAAAACTCAGTCGACAATGGTGGTTTATTCGCCATGTCTTAATTTTAAATTTACATAAATTGATCATAAACTGGTTTCTATTAAATAAAAATTTTCAAAGAACATCTGCACAGGCAAATTTGAATGGAATTAGTCATTTGCCTATAAATGTGAATTTCTGAAAGTTGCAAAATGTGGCCGTCCATATTGTTTACACATCTTTCCTGAATGGTTTCAAACTAGCAAGAATGTGGAATTGGGGGAGGAGGACCTGAATCCCAGAAGAGAACAAATTAAAAAAATGCTCTTATTTCCAGTAAAAATGTTAATGAGAACAAAATAAATTAGAATGTGAAGGTATGTCCGTATTTTCCTTACTTTGGGAGGAAATAAAATGGAATGTGAAAAAGTTAATTCAAAATGGGAAGAAAAAAACTCTCTTGATTTAAATCAAGTTTAGACTGTTCAAGTGTTATAAAATATCCATTTCTCTTCATTCCAACTCACCCCCAGTATCATCAGGGAAAAGTCTTCTGGGTCTTGTCCTTTGAACAAGCACTGCTATGGTGGGACTTTAACTATCTCAGGGATGCTTTCCTTTGTCACATTTTAAATTTTGTCTCCTTTAGTTTATAAAGGGGTGTATGCCTCAAAACAATCGGTAACTTGGCAAACAATTTCAGCATTTTAATCTCATTTATAATTCTTTTTCCAATCCCTTTGAAGAAGGGGAGGAGGTGGACAAGTCTCACTGAGATATTACCTACTTAAAGACGACAAGTGATAATACTATTATTATAATATTTATATGTACTTAATATGTGCAGCCAGTCTTTGTGCATTATCTCACGTAATTCTCTTAACCGCCCCTAGACCTGAGGAGTGGAATCACCCTGGAAGGAACTGGCCAAAGGTCACTGGGCATTTGGAGGGTCGAGGAATGGTAGATAGCCAGGATGTTCAGCTCCATATTGCTTCTCTATAAGCTGCTGTTTATTTTAGATCCCCTCTTCCGCAGCAGCATATTTTTCCTAGGTGTAGATCATTAGAGGCTTTTATTTCTGAAGCTGACTGAAGAGATCTTGGCGCTCATAATTTTAAGGGAGGGAGGGGGAGAAAGAGAGAGAGGGGGAAAGAAAGAAAGAAGAGAAAAAAATTCGCAATAAACCCAGAAGCATTTTTATTTTTATAAGTAAGCTATATCATTGTGGGTTTCATATAGTAATAAAGAAGTATTCTCTTTTAATTAATGTATAATTTTACTAAAGAATTGTGTGCCTTCACCAGCTTGCCTCAACCACTTCCCCAACCTTAGTTCTTGTCACTTCCTTCTGCTCTGGCTCTCCACCATCCTCTCTTGGCCACGTTCTGGGTGCACAAGACCACAAGCCGCCAGAAAGTTCCATGCTCTTTAACTTCTTTTTGCTCCAACTGTTGCGCTTGATTGCTTTCTTCTTTTATTTGCAAAACTTAGGATCAGTTTTCAGGGCTCACATCAAGAAACGTGTCCTTACTGGACCCTTCCCCCGTCTTCCTTGCCCCCACTAATGGTTTCTTCTGTGCGTGCCCGCTTAGTGCTTTGATCTTAGAATAAGTATAGCAGTAATCATACTGTTTTAGCGCCAAGTCCTTTTTGCTGACAGCCTGAGCCCCTTCCCTAGCTCCCCTAGCACATGGGAGGCGCTAATGACATTGATTGAATTGAAAAGTTGTCATAAGTATTTTCTCTCAGCTCCTGAGATATGCAACAGAAGTCTTTTCTTTGACTTCACTTATTAACTTAATATTTACTGAGTTCCCCCAGTGACTGCCGTGAAAGAAGTTACAGTAATCATACAATAGTTTGCATTCAACCATGCTTCCTCTTTGCCAAAACACTATTCTTCATTTTAGCCTCAAAGCACTAAATGGACCTTGAGTTCAAGGTATTTAAGAAATTGTCCAATGACTACAGCAAACAGACAAAATTATAATCTCATTATTTTAGTCTAAAAACATTCTTTGAGCTAAAACTTAACTACCCTTACCGAAATTATTGCACCGATAATAGGCTTCTTTGATGACAGAAAACACGGAAACAGATATCATTAACTTTTGCTTAATTACTTTGGATTATTCTAGAAAGTTCTCAAGTCAGCTTCTCCTTGTTACTTACAAAATAAAGGGCCTTTATGTATACAGGAGAAAGGGCAAACAAATTTTTATATCCGTTTAGGTGAAATAAAATTAAGAAACTTGCTCATGAGATTATATTAATGAAGAGTCACAATTTAGAAAGATTGTGAAGGCACTGGATTTTATGACTAATAGAAGATTTTATAGCAGAATAACATTATATTAGTCTAATTGTCTCTTTAGGGTTTTTTGTCAGCTAGTTTCCCAACCCCCAGAAATCATCAACTGAAATAAGGCTATGCCATCTGCATATTGAACCCTGCGGGCATAAAAATTAGAATTAGAGCCCCACCGAAATATAAAACTAACCATGGTCAGCAGATTCCAAGAGTTTCAAGTTTCCCTATTTTGCCAGATGGCAATGCGCTTAAATCAAAAGTGTTCATGTTTCAGGCCACCTGGGTGGCTCAGTGGGTTAAGCGTCCAACTCTTGATTTCAGTTGAGGTGGTGATCTCCGGGTCATGGGATCGAGCCCACTGGGCTCCCCGCTCAGTGGAACGTGCTTGGGATTCTCTCTCTCCCTCTCCCCCTCCGCACTCACTCTTTCTGTAAACAACTAAACGTTAAAAAAAACAAAACAAAAAACTTTGAAACTTCAAGTTTAAAAAAAAGTATGTTTCATACTGTTTCCATTTTGAAGTTCTGAGGAGTTGCCACCAGATTAGATATCCACATTCTAGGGGCATCTCCCCCCAGCTACAGCCAACACGGGGCTGCCCAGATAGCATCTCCTGTGGCTTTCCTCAATTTCCTCCTGAATCAGCTTCCTTAAACTGTCAGACTGTCCCCATTGTTTTGGTTTGCCAGTGTCAGTGATTACATCAGTCTTCCCCGTAATTTCATCATCTCTCCATCTTATAAGACACAGCACACCCTAATAATAATAGCTAACACTTAACGTACTACTCACTTTGGATTGAGTATTTTCCTAAGTGTTTTTAACCATACTGATGCATGTAATCATCGCAATAATCTTGTGAAGTGGTTACGGGTGTTACCTTTAGATTTGAAGACAAGTTAATGCATTCAAATATTTTATTTTACTTTTTTTTTTTAAGATTTTATTTATTTATTCATGAGAGACAGAGGGAGAGAGAGAGAGAGAGAGAGAGAAGCAGAGGGAGAAGCAGGCTCCCAAGGAGCAGGGAGCCCGATGCTGGACTCCATCCCAGGACCCTGGGATCATGACCTGAGCTGAAGGCAGACGCTTAACCATCTGAGCCACCCAGGCGCCCTGCGTTCAAATATTTTATTACTTTAATTTTCCACAGCCGAATCAATTTTGTATAACTGCTGAATTCCAGGAGAAAGTAATATTCTCCTGGAATAAACAGGCAGCAGACCATGGTGCTTATTTGTACCTCAGCTCTTGAGCTGAGCTCAAACAATCATAATTTATCCCAAATAAGTGCATCTATATTATAATTGCTTTTATCAAACAGACTACTTCTTTGTCTATCATCATCATCACTATTTACCCAGCATCTCTATGCATTTGACTGAGTATTTAGTTTTTACCAAGTTAAAGATCTCTGCATTGGTTGTAAAACATGACTTCTATCTTCAAAAGCTTGGAAAAGTTCTCAGTCTTAGAAGGGTGGAATACTTTGAGTCAAGTGGTATTCACATTTTCTGATTTTTGTGACTGACTGACAAATAAATAATTTAGTATTTACACCAAAGCACATATACCCATAATTACACGGTAACGGCCAAACATAGGTGTCCTACAAACTGTGAAAGAATGGGAGTGTTTTAATCGTGAGCTGAAAAAGGTGGGGGAAGTGACCCATTGTTAAAGTTCAAATAAGCTGTGGTCGACTTCAGAGCCACACCTGTGCA